AAGTTTCATCGAGATCAGCTAGATGGTCTTCTGCTTTCAGGCTCTTTACCACAATGTCATCGACATAAACTTCCAGATTCCTGCCGATCTAAGCTTAGAAGACGATGGTCACCATTTTCTAGTAAATAGCACCTGCGTTCTTTAAGCCAAATGGCATCATGACATAGCAATAAATTTCGTCACCAGCATAGAATGAGGTTTTCTCTTCATCCTTTGGAGCCATCGGCACCTAGTGATAACCAGAATATGCATCCAAGAGACTTAATCTCTCATTTCTAGAAGCCGCTTCAACCAGTTTGTCAATGCTTGGCATCGGATAGCAGTCCTTGGGGCAAGCTTGGTTGAGATTTGTGTAGTCGATGCACATTTACTATTTACCATTTGCCTTTTTAACCAACATTAGGTTAGCCACCCATTCGCAGTAATCAACTCTTCTGACGAAACCAGCTTGTAGGAGCTTCTCTACCTTTTCCTTTATAACCTGAAGCCTCTCCCCCCATAAGAGACGTCGCTTTTGGGCTACTGGTTTCTTCAATGGATTGGTGCTGAGCTTATGTTGGGATATCGAGGTTGGAATTCCTGGCATGTTTGCCGAAGTCCAAGTGAAGACATCGTTGTTAGCGCGGAGAAAAGCTATTAGCTTTGCTCTTTCCTTCGGGCTCAATCGAGTTCCAATTTGTGTCTTTCTGCTTGGATCTTTGTCGTCAATTTGCACTTCCTCGACATCTTCAACTGGAGCAGCTCTGGTTTCATCCTCTGGTCGGTTATCTACTATCTCAACACCCATTACTTGCTAATTGTCAGGAATTCGTTGGGGAATGGTTTCCGGCGTCTGATCTTTGCCTTTCTGAGATATTGTGACTGAAGTAATGTAGCAATGTTTAGCCACCTCCCGGTTGCCCCGTAGTGTTACTATCCCAATGGGAGTTGGGAACTTCATGTAAAGATGAGATTGGGAAACCACAACTCGGATTTCGGTCAATGTGGGTAAGCCAATAACAACATTGAAAGAGAACGCCATTTTGACAACTAAAAATCGAACTGAAGGGGTAACATAAGTTTGGCCACTCGCAAAAGCAACATTGAAAGTAAGAACTCCTTCGACTTGAACAGGTTGGTTGTTGAATCCATAGATAGGGCCATCGTACCTCTGCAACAAAGCTAGATCTAGCCCAAGACTCTAAAAACAATGAAGGTTAAAACCCCTTTTTGGTCCTTGAACTATTGTACGGATCCCCGATTTGGTCCCTGAACTAAAAAAATCCTTGATTTGATCCCTACTGTTTACCATTTTTACCCCGATTTGGTCCTTCCGTTAAAAATTGTCCGTTAACTCACAGATATATCAAAAATTTAAGCCACGTCAGTTGTACACGTGGATAAATGATGACATGGTCATACCCAACGCAAAAACAAAAGTGGGACCCACCAAATTAGAATTTTACATCATCTTCTTCCTCCAGTATCTTCTTTCTCGAAATTTCCTTCATTCACACAATCAATTCAATCAAACAATCAATTCAATATCGAACCAACAATTCTTCATCTTAATCAAACAACCAAACCCACAAAAAAAAAAAAAAAGAAATTTTTTTGCCCCTGGATTCGAACGAACCCAGTTCTTGGGTTCTCGAAGGAACCCAGTGCTCGGATTCAAGAAGAGACCCAGCGCCTGGGTGCAAACGAAACCCAGGTGCCTAGGTTCGAGAAGAAACCTAGGGCTGGGTTCGACGAACCTAGCCAACACCAGCCCTGGGTTCAACCTGGGTTCGTCGAACCCAGGGCTGGTGTTGGCTGGGATCATCGAACCCAGGGCTGGGTTCAACTGGGTTCGACCTGGGTATGTTGAACCCAGGGCTGGGTTTGACAACCAGGACCCACCAGCCCTGGGTTCGCTAGGTTCGTCGAACCCAGGGCTGGGTGGGTTCCGAGGGGAAGGAGGAAGAGAAAGGGGAAGGAGAAAGAGAAAGGGAAAGGAGAAAGAAGAAGAAAAAAAGAAAAAAGAAAAAAGAATAGAAAAATTTAAGTTTTATTTTTCATAATATTTTTTATATTATTTTTTTTCCACATCATCACTTTTTTTTCCACATCATCACTTTTTATATTATTATATGACATGTCATCTGGTAACTGTTAAGTAACATGCCACGTCACACAATTTTTAACGGAAGGACCAAATTGGGGTAAAAATGGTAAACAGTAAGGACCAAATCAGGGATTTTTTAGTTCAGGGACCAAATCGGGGGTCCGTACAATAGTTCAGGGACCAAAAAGGGGTTTTAACCAACAATGAAAGTACATAATGTCTGGTGCACTCCCTGCATCAACAAGGACACGTTGTACCTCACAGTTGTTAATCATGACAAAAGTGACCAGAGGATCATTGTGAGGTGTGACAACTATGTTGAAATCAGCAAATGTGAAAGTGATGGGTTGATTCTTCTAGTCAGCATCGTCAAACTTTCTTTTATGAGCTCGGTTTTGATGCTTCACCTCTCTGACGTACAACTTTCGCTGTTTAGAGCTCAAACCTCCTGCTTCCAAGCCTCCCGTAATCATATGTATAATTTTGGCTGGTGGTGGGAGTGGAGGTGGAGCTTGTTGATATCCCACGCCTTGTTTGTTTCCTGCATTACGAGATCCCTGTGGCTGTGCCCCCTGTTCTCTAACAAACTTCGGTT